GTTCTCAGTTCATTGCATAAAATGCCATGCCAACCTAATTTACATTTGTTCTTAACACAACGCTAGTATTTATAATGCTAGGTTGACTGCCACAGTAACTGTTGTCATATTTATCATGATGTAGGTTACTACTCATGGCGATATCAATTGGACGACATCATTATATCATTAGAGGGCTGCAGGGAAATGGGAAAACCTTAATACTGCGGATATAGTAATACCGCGGTAATAGCAGTGAAATTGCTCGTATATGTATATAATTATATCTGCTATGTCAATTAAAAGTCATTTTTTTCTGTTGAATTATTTGTTCTCACCCCAACACCGCCTGGTGGCAGTGTAGCCTAGGCTGTACGAGGCTACTGAAGAACAATTTGTTTGAATACACGAGAAAAGCACTGTTCTCGAAGTTTTTCAGTTACTTTTCAAAATTTTAATGTTTGGATAACATGGTCTGAATAACACAAAATAAGAGTTTGGAGAAAAGTGCCAAGTAAGTAATTTTAATAAGTAGGATATATAAAGGCAAATACGGAGATGTTTCATTTTACACTCTACTATTGATGTATAGGTGAACGCGGGGACGGGGTGGGGACAGTTTTCGTCCACGCGAGCACCCCCGCCTTGTGTCCTCCTCGAGCCCGGGGACAAAAACGCCCAAATGATTTTCAGGGTTGCTAAGTGTGATACTCACGCTTTCAGACTCTCACGCAAGAAATCTTACGGCAAATATATATTATTCAATTATAAACTTAAAATTAGCTAAATCAAATCTGCTGGGGTAGTTTGCAAATGTGTTGATATATGTAAATTCGTGAGCAGACATCTCGAATTGAAAATCTCACGCCAGCCAACAAAATCTCACGCCTCTGCAAAATTTTAATGTAACTCATCAAAGGGAAAACAAAACATCAAAAATACCCAAATACCCTAAAATTTTATAACTGTGTTTTATTAATTGTATAGTTCATATTGTTTTCTTTATCGGCATCTTAGTTAGAAATGACTGAAAAACATGCTGTGAAGTTGAAGATTTATTAGGCTGTGACTCTACTAACCTATCAGAAGCTTCTTAAGCTCAGAATGGAATCGTCTGGAGTTTTCTTATTAATTAAAGACACAATAAACGTAGTGTATATATACTCCTAAATTTGATGAAAGTGATAAAAAA